TTGTAAAAATAGGGCGCTGAGATTCCTCCATAAAGATCGAATTTATTTTGGCTTTTGGCCTCTCAGACGGATGAAATGTGAAATTCGTCTTGGAGAACGAATACTTAGATATTTTTTCGCGGAAGGAATGCTGAGAGTAGGTCTCGAAACTCGAATACAAAAATCCTGTGTCCAAGAACAAATAGTGGACGTTCAATTTAGAGCTACAAACCAGAGATTCGTTCTCGATGCCAATTGATTCATGGGTTGTAATAAATGAAAACTGCACAGTTATAACGGAGACTCAAACCAATTACCCCAAAAATATCGAACTTTGGTGATTTTTTATCAAAAGATTGAATGCTGGGATTTTGGTGTCGAAGAACGAAAATCTCAGATTTTTCTTTGAGAAGTAAGAATCACAGGATAAAAAAATATTCGCTGCCAGAAATGACAAATCATGACATTCGTTTTAAAAAATTTAACCAATTCTCTACGGAATGAATCCACCGATTTCGTTCTGAAAGAACAACTTTCAGGACTTCTATGTTAACCACGACTTCCAGGATTCGTTCTCAAACGAAACAAGTTCCAGTATTCGTTCACAAAACGAACAACTTCCAAGATTTGATCTTGAGATTTTGTTTTTAAAAACTAAATCCAAAAATGCGTTCTGATGGAACGAGATCCCAGGATTTCGTTCTAAATCAACTTCCAGGATTCAGTTCTCAAACGAAACCAACTTCCAGATGCACTCTCAAACGAACAAGTCTCGGAAAATCGTTCTCCAAACGAACAACATCCAAAATTTGTTCATGAGATTCGTTTTAAAAACAATAAACCCAAAGATGCGTTCTCGCGAGACAAATTCAGGGTTTCGTCTGAACGGCACACGTCCAGGATTCGTTCAGCGCAACGAACAACTTCGCAAGATTTGATCTTGAGATTTGTTTTAAAAAACTAAATTCAAAGATGCGTTTTTTGATGGACGGATCCCAGGATTCGTTCTAAACAACTTCCAGGATTCGTTTCTCGAACAAACTTTCCCAGAATGCACCTCCTCAAACGAACAAGTTCCGGAAATCGTTCGTCAAACGAACAACATCCAGAATGGTGTTTCCTTGAGATACGTTTTTAAAAAACAATAAAACCCAAAGATTGCGTTACTCGACGGAACCGAATTCCCAGGATTTGTTCTCAAACAACTTCAGGATTCGTTCTAAAAACGAACAACTTTCAAGAATTAGATCTTGAGATTCGCTTTAAAAACAATAACCCAAAGATGCGTTCTCGAACTGAACGAATCCGCAGGATTACGTTCTCGAACGAACAACTCCAGGATCCGCTCGCCACAGTGGGCCCACCTGCTCCGTCGTTGCGGCAGCTCGCCGGGCGTGGGCGAGGGCATGGGCGAGTGCAAGCTCGTGGATGGGCGTGGGCGAGGGCGTGCGCGGTGGCGCGCAGGCGGTCGCAAGCGCGCCCGAACGTCGCCTCCAGCTGCCCGTTCACCGACTGGGATTGGGGCGCTGCGTCTCGGCGGGCGCGCCGCCGTTGCCCCCGGGGCGGCGCCGGCGACGGCACGGCGGGGCCGGGCCGCGGGGCGGCGGCCGCGTGGAGTGCGACCCCCGGCCTGGCCAACCAACAGCACACGCCAAAATGTTGTGGTCGGCCCCGCGTAACGTAACAAAATCTTCTTACTCTACCTTTAGAGCGGAAGTACAAGCCGGCTTTCCCATGGCCGTAGATGTTACTGCACGTAAGCAAGACCTTAAGTCTAAATGACGCCTTGAGCTAAATTCAAATCGCCAGTTCTCGCCCAAGAAAATACCTCCTTTCTCTGCTTAGTGGGAGAAAGGAGCGTAGCGAATTTTGCGTGGTCAGACGGAAGAGCGGGCTTGATGGCCCGAGTTCTCGCCACGTAAAATAAGGCATTAATTCAATTCAATTGATTCAATAACACTCTGTCTGAGAAGCGCAATGTGTAGCTCACCATGTGGCCAACTTGGATAAGAAGTTGTTTTACCTAAACTGCTTGATTTGCGTCCATAACAGAAATCAAATATCGATCCCGAGAGAGAGAACTCCTTACGATCATTAGTTTCGTAACAGTATAGTATTGTATTCCCTAGACAAGTCAATAAATTGTTCGGAAAGAGTCAACTAATTCGTCGGAAGTGCCAACGTCAGAATGAGTCGATGAATTTATTGCGGAACGAATCAACAAATGCGTTTAGAAGCAAGTCAATGAATTCGTACGGAATGAGTCAATGAATTCGTTTTGAAATGAGTTTAAAAAAATGGGTCCAGACAAATCAATGAATTTGTTCGGAAACTAGTACAATAATTCGTTCACACCAGATTATGGATTTGTTCGGAACGAGACAATGAATTCATCCGGACCTAGTCATGACACTTTATTTGGGAACGAATCATTAATTTGTTCGGCACAATCATGAATTCGGTCCGGACCTAATCACTGAATTAGTTTGGAAATGAGTCAATTAGTTCTTTCCAAACGAAGTAATAAATTCGTTCGATGCATGTCAAATAAATTCTTCGATACGAGGAAAATGTCTTCGTACTGAGTAAGTCAAGCATTTGATACGAACCTATGTAGGTTTTTTCGGAAAAAACCAATTTTTATACAAGCTTTCAAATATTCGTGGACACAAGTGAAGTGAAGTGGAGTAAAGTGAGTGGACGTGAAGTGCAGTGAAAGTGAGTGGAGGAAGTGGAGTGAAGTGGATGAAGTGGAGTGAAGTGGAGTGAAGTGCATGTGTATTTATTACTTAAAAATTCCGTGCAGGAAAAACTCATAAAGTTTATAGGTAATGCTGTATTGGTACCTTATTGTTATTATTAGCCTTAAATGCTTTTTTAAATTCAGTGTATTAAGTATTCTTTTAGTTGTGATACGTTAAATTGTAGTGTTCTGCCACCAGGTTCTATACCTACCTGGCAGAAATAATTAAATTCTATTCTATTATCTATGAGTAAGGTGTAATCGTCTGCAACGATTCATTTGTACAAATACTAGCGTTTTTTTAATAAAATTTTTAAATCAAAGGGATTTTCGCCTTGCGGCCTCACCTGGATGGCGTCTCCGGGCGCGAGGGCGGGTCGGGGCGGCGGGGCCAGCCAGCGGCGCGGCGCCCGCAGGATAT